GGCTCTAATATGAAGGCTCTATAAGACTGATAAATCCAGATCTATAAGCGAAACGTCTCTCGAAGATTTCCAGGTGTTTTACACCAATCTTTCTGATGTGTATTGTTTCAGGTGGTGGAAGTGGCATTGGCCGAGCCATCTGTCAGGTGTTGGCCAGGGATGGTGCCAGGGTGGTGGTGGCTGACATCAATGTCCAGGGAGCCCGGGACACCCATAGTATGCTCCCTAGTAAGTCACCCTTAATATACTTCTTAGTAAGTCACCCTTAATATACCTCCTAATAAGTCACCCTTACTATATTTTCTAGTTAGTCACCTTTAGAAGCACTCTAGAGGGGATATTTTTAACTCAATTATAATTATAAAAATCCCCAATAAATTAACCCTAAGGAAGATTCATATTAAAGCCTGTATGTTTTCCAGTAAGACCTTCATGTACAAAACAAACATTATAATTAAATAAAAATCCAGTAAACAAAAATCCATAACTGTATCAGTCATCAATATAAGCCCCAACAATACACTACACCAGAAGTATAATACCAGGAGTCCCATCACATCCAAAACATAAGGTAAGACACTGGAGGAATTTATCGACAGTTAAGTTTGTAAATACGAGATGATGTACAAATTTCGGCATTTTATTTATGCGCCATAAGCCAAATATTTTATCATAATTTAAATAAGCAAAATTTAAAAAGTGAAATATCACTGCATCAAGCTTAATGGCAATGCTAGACAGATTTTTTCTCACATTTAACCATTCCCTCTCACTTTGTTAACGCATTTATTAAAACTGCTCAAGGCATTAGATTCAATATCTATACTCTGTAGTTTGCTCCTCTCATCACTAACCAGTGCTTTGCATTATCCATTCAAAGGGCGATATATTCACTTCAAACTGGATCCACAGAATCTCCTGTGAGGTCTTCCCCTCTCCTAACCTCATCTATAACCACACCCTCGATTCATCCAGAACCCCCCCTTCCATCACCACGAAATTCGCACTCATCATCTAACTACATAAATCAATTCTACACCCTCAATTCCACTTCAAGCGCTTGATACCACTACACAATCAGTTCACCCACGACACCACAGCCCAACATCACACCCACAGTTCACTTATTCCTCTAAAACCAGTTGACACACTGCACATCGTGTCTGTATTTTATACAGACACACATCGTGTCTGTATAAAATACAGACACCATGGCAAACTATACTACACTGGTGTCTATTTTTCTCTGTAGATCCTGGGGATCACCTGGCTCTATCCATGGACGTAACAAATAAGGACTCTGTAGACTCAGCCATTAAAGCCATCATGGAGAAGTACCAGACTCCTCCCAGTCTCCTAGCCAACTGTGCCGGAATTATGAACAGTTTCCCAATTTGTGAAATGGAAAAAAATGACTTTACGGACATGATAAACGTTAACCTTACGGTATGTTGTACGTTGCTGCTAGTGTACTGACCAAGTACCTCCTGAAATGGTCTTCTTAGATACTGACGATCAAGAAACATTTAAATTTACAGAAAGGTTTAAGGTACATTGCTACCAATGACACGTGTCATAAACTTATAATAAATTATGAAGGTTTAACTTAAAAATAACGCAATTAACCAAGAACAAACCCTATTTAACACAGGATTATTCATTTTAACTATAGAGAATCCAGTTTAATCTAGAATCTTGCTGAATCTACGACAGCCCAATAGAATGTAAATGTCTTTTTCATGCTAGCGAAATCAGCACTCACACCGATGTCCGGGGATCGATCCTCGGTACGGGTAGAAACACTAGGACGTGTTTACTTAAGATACCCTCTCTCTCTGTTCACCTAGCAGTAGGTATGTGCCTGGGTGTAAGCCGACTGGTTGGGGTCGCATCCTGGGAATAAATATAACATAATTTGCCATAAATGTTCTACATAACAAGGAGGCTTTCTATGTAGTATTATGTCACTGATGTCAGGGAGGCCTGTATACCTTGTACATGTACGTGTAGATATAAAGATTATTATTATTATTATTACTAATTACATTCATGTGTAGGGCTCTTTTTACTCAAGAAAATTACTAACTTGATTGGTTTTATAAAGTGTATATATATATATATAAATATATATATATATATATATATATATATATATAATATATATATAATATATATATATATATATATATATATATATATATATTATATATATATAGAGGTACCACCTCTAAAACTGTCCTGGGAACCCTCATCCTCAGAGAAAAGAATAAACTTTCTATACTAAGAGGAATGCTCCTTTCGGTACATATATCATGTGCATTACAAGATAGCAACTGCATTCATATACATGATAAAGAGCATACAGGATACAATATTAAGTATAAGCCAGTGCAGTGATATAATGCGTCAGTGTAATCTCCTTTCGTTGCTGCAGCTCGTGTTGTTTCATTATAATAATGATATAAAAACAGATAATGTGAGGAATTAAACACATGTAGAGCATCTGGGTATTTTTATTTGAAGATATAAAGTGTATTTTGTGTACAGTATTGCAAGGGTCTTTGCCTCATCTTCTATTGTCTATTTATATCGATTGTATACTGATTTGAGTCTGGAGAAACGTCTTCAAATAAAAATACCCAGATGCTACACACAGTTCTTGTTGCTTGGCACAAGCAGACACATTCGCTGCATGATCTAAATTAACTAAGAAACCACACACAGGGCACCTTCCTTGTGAGTCAAGCAGTTGTCAAGTCGCTGTTGAAGCAGGAAGGTCATGGTGTTGTAGTCAACATTGCCAGCATTCTTGGACGAACAGGGCTACGCAACTACTCCCACTATGCTGCCAGCAAGGGTGGTGTGATGGCCCTCACCAAGTCCATGGCAGGAGAACTCGCCAAGTTAGTTTCACATTTTTTTTTTTCAAACATGGATCATTTGAACATGCATATATATTCTGAATATTATTTTTAAATATATTTTTTTTTATTATACTAGGAAAGGTGTTCGGGTAAACTGCGTACTGCCTGGTGCAATCGACACACCTTTAATCAAAGACAAGTCGTCCCCAGAAGTTCTTGCATATATTGCTCTCACTGCACTAGGAAGATATGGACAGCCTGAAGGTCGGTATTATAAGCAGGGATGTCGTGAGACAAAACACAAGAGAGATATAATCCCATATACTTTCTGTAACGGGAAGAAAACATCTAAAAACGTCCTCCTCCGTATTTTTTAGAAGCTGCTACCTTATAAATGAGCACAAAATGCTTTTAAGTATCTGAAAACTAAATATATAACACATTTTTACTTAAAGAACTCCATCTTGCATCGATTGTTCGTGATCATTGCATAATACACATGTCGTGCCGAATACGTAAAACTTGCGAGTTTAGCTTAAACAGCAACGTACTTCTTGCCGAATAGGACAAGCGAAAATTTGTGTATGCAATAATTTTGCAAAAATCATTCTGAGCCTAACGAGAAAAAAACAAATTTCACTGTGATTGTTTATTAAATTATTGTAAAACTATATAAAATATATCTAGTTGGATTAAGCAACATTTAACTGCGCTTGTTATAATAAGGTTAGGTAAGTTTCCTAAGGTCCTTTTGCTACAAAATCATTAATTTTTATAACATAAAAAATATATACATCTTTAAATGTATAAGATAAATTTTTAGAAAGACTTAATTTTAAACGAGTTCTAACACACACACACACGCGCACATATATATATATATATATATATATATATATATATATATATATATATATATATATATATATATATATATATATATATATATATATATATATAAACAGCATATTTTCTCACAAGGAAAGAAGTAGATTCGAACTTAGACCTTCACCCTCTACTCAAGCAGCAAGTTCTCGTAACATAAGCAACTCGGCCACCAGAGGCCACATAACTATGGGTGACCTGCGAAAGTTAGCCTATGTGTCTAATAGCTGGGGGCAACATTCGATTACTGATTGTAGTGTTTGGTATTTCACCTTGCCCGCCTATATACCATCCACACAAGTGGCTCAGCAGCCACTTGTGTGGCTGGTATAAAGGTACAAGAATTTGACTCTCTGCTTAAGCAGAGGATCACAGTCTGATAGTCAGGCACCAGGCAGATGGAACGAGTTCTTTCATCACCTAAATAGTACCTCAGATCACAATAAGTAACTACAGGGGATCCCATTCAAACTCTGAGCTCACTGATCTCCCCGAACAGAAAAGACTGCACTTATTTTCTAATACTATGTAACACATCTTTCCTAGATTAAGACATTTGTGGGTTTTCTTTGAGAAAATAAATTTTATTCCCAAACAGAGGTGGCAGAACTGGTGGCATTCCTTCTATCGGAGAAGAGCAGCTTTATGGTTGGGTCTTGTGTGGAGATCACAGGTGGACTTGGTGTTTAATTTGACTCTGAAGAAGCCAAGCCTCAGCGTCAGCATATTAAAGGATCGTTAACATTATCAACTGCGACCTCAAGATGTTTAACAGATTTTGAGGAATCCACTGCCAACGGGAATAGAATTTTCAAGAACTCTGCAAAGCCAATACCGTACCTGTAGTGGATTTTGTATCAGCCATCCCAACGCCAAAATAATTGTGGATATCAAGGCAACTATTACCAGCGTCAGGAGGTGAAAGGAGCCTTGAGGAGCTTGTCTGACACTTGACGTGAAAAGAACTCTGGGGTTCATAATTCTATCAGGTAACATTCAGGACGGAGGTTGTTACAATAAATTACTAAAAAATAGATTTTTTCATTATTTATTCCTTCGGGATTCATAATATTTATGAATATATTTATTTGAGCTTGTGAGTAGATAAATAATAGCAAAATGGTGACAATTGAAAATAAAGACACTGGTGAAGGAGGATACTTCTAATGCAACATTTTTTTTTCTATTAGGTCAAGCTCAGAGAAAGACATTACACAAAAGGCCATTGAGACAACAGGTCACTCAAGTTTTTAAAAACTGCGAAATGAAGTCTGGCGAGGTTAGACATTGGTGGTATCAGAGGATGGGAGTAAGGTGACAAGTTAATGTATATTTCATGAATCGTGTACAATAGGTCAAGACTACATGTACGTTCCATTGTTCTTCTCACTGGTTTTGGTGAGGTGGATCACTGCTGCTTCTGAAATTCTGCGTCTGGCTCTGTCGTTCTCGTGATGCAACAATTGAGCTCTTCCGAAGTCCATGACGTGAGACTTAAGGTTGTAATGGAATACGAATGCGTTGTTGGTTTTATCTCTCCTGCAGACTTATTAATGTTAGTTATTTCTAACTTCTTGTTCAGATGATTTCCTCATTACTTAGTACCTTGAAATTATTTATCCGTTTCAATTTACATTTCAAGCAAATAGTATAGCTTCAGTTTTTCCCAAAATCGTCGACAACTTATGAATTAGCTAATGACGGCACGACCACTAATTCCACTGAAAGTATTTTAACTATATTATTTGGCTCTCCGCCTGACACAAAGTGATCATTGCCATCTGCTATTGAGAATGTAATTTACGCAGCACTCGCGTAACAGTGGAGCCCAAGATACGTCCTTGTCAAACTCCATACGATATCGGCAAGGGACGATATCGTATTGAGTTCTACAGTTTAATTCCTGTTGCGCAAAAGAGACAAATTAGTCTATAGAGCTTCTTTCGATATCTCCTAGTTTATTTTATATATGATTTGAAAAAGACCATTGGCTTGGGATTCCTTGTTTAGAAGGTTCTTAGTATCCAGCCTATCATTTTCCTCGCTGATGTGATAATGATACTGTTGTGATCCTTTAAGGCGAGATCCTCTGAGATTAACACACTCAAGTCCTTCACACTACTTTTTATATCTCTATCGTGTGATTAGAGTTTGTAGTATACTCAGTTTATAGCTACTGTTTCCTCCAGTTTTCGATAATGGAGCAGTTGAAATTTGTCCTCATTGAACATCATACTGTTTTCCGTTGCCTACTGGATAATCTGGTTTATATATGCTTAGACATTTACCGCGTCTTCAATAAATGACAGTCTCATGCAGATTCTAGTATCATCTGCAAAGAATGTCACATTTCTATGGTATACATCTGTCTATGTTTGATATGAGGATGAGGAACAAGATGGGGGCGAGTACCGTGCCTTGTGGAACAGGGCTTTTCACTGTGGCAGCCTCCGACTTAACTATTTACCTGTACTCTGTGTCCAATTGGTTATTAAGTTTAAGATCCATCTGGCCACTTTGCCGGTTATCCCTTTAGAATGCATTTTGTACTCTATTACTCCATAATCGCACTTGTCAAAGGCTTTTGCAAAATCTATATATCACATCTGGATTCTGTCTGTCTTCCAGCGCATCCAAGACTATATCAGTATGGTCCAGTAGTTGCAAGAGGCAGGATCGACCTGCTCTAAACCCCTAATCGTGCAATTGTTGGGCATCCAAATGATTTGCTATCATTCTTCAAAGAACTCCTTCAAAGATTGGTGGACACTAAAAAAAATCTTCCTAAAGAACTTATAAAAGAATTATTTTCATATTCTATAACCAGAAATTGACAGAAATCGTGTTGCTGTTTATTTTGCAATATGTTGCAGAGTGGGAACAACTGTATGGACAGGAGCAGACACCCGGGACAGTGATTCTCTGGGCAGTCGAAGATTCTCTACCAACATCCTATCAAGAGCGACCATGTCACACCGAGTACGAGCGAGGATGCCGCAGAATGTGGCATCCTCGTTCATACTAGTAAATCAGCGGCGCACTTCGCTGATTGGTAATTATTATGTGATGAGATCTAAAGTAATCCAAGACTAGAATTAATCTTTAGATGAATAAGGGGCACAATCTGTACTCTTGTGGTCCCTGGAATAAACTGTCGCAGTCTCACAGTTACCTGAGATTTATGTGAAAAATGCAACCATGCGAAGTGTATAAATAATGAGAAATATGATGAAACAGTGGCAAACACTGATGGCCTAAACTTTGTATACAATGTATGCTTAATAACTCACGAGAACACTGAGTAAATATTATCATGCACAACATTACACGTAACCATAAACAATGCAACATTGTCAATACTGTAATAAATGAGGAAAAACAATATATACTGCGGATGTGAATTGTTTAAGGGATTGTCCATAACAGATGAATATTTGTATATAGTAAAGGCATCTTAGCCGCGTTTCGATAGATGACGCAATGACTGACGAAGTCAAAATATAAACATACAGCATCATACTTTCGGATAAAAGGAGTCAAGTAGTGCAATGTATAAGCTTTTATAAGAAATTACTGAGCATACAACTCGAAACTCGACTTGCTTGACAGTAATCCAGAGAATCTAAGCGCTGAGGTGTTGCTGTCGAAGACGAAACTCTCGTTACAGAAGAAGTGTTTGTTGCCCTCTCTTTTATTATCAGTTATTAGAACTCTTTGAAAGAGTAGTGCCCAGAATTGGGGCCAACCGTGAGATATTAAGTAGTGGGATGGATAGTGAAGGACCTGCCTAGAATGGGCCAACAGGCCTGCTGCAGTGTTCCTCCTTTATGTTCTTATTAATATTTGACTATTTCTCTGCTCTCGACGATGGAATACTGTATGACACTTAGCACCTGTTACCAATTATAATAATAATAATAATAATAATAGTAAAAATAATAATAACAATTTAATATTATAACTCAGTAAAAGCTGTAAGAGTCTAGAAGACTAGACAACTATTACAGACATTCAGTTAATAAACTAATTTGTATTATGCAGCTTTTAGCCACCACGCTTGACCACACAGTCTGTGACTTCTATGATAAAAATCAAAACATTTTTCCTATTGGAGTTAGTGACCATTTTAGGACTTACTGCACCAGGAAAATGGAGAACCTATAGAACACCACAGAAATAGAAGACTGAAATCAACTAAGAATTTCAGAAAAGAAACGAATACGTATGTTGCATAAATATACACATTGACACACACACACACACACACACACACACACACACACACACACACACACACACACACACACACACACACACACAGTGTAAAGGTAAAGCGAAGAATTCAAATAAATAAGGATCAGGTAGGAATACCAAAGGATCTGGAGAAGCTGCAAGCCTGGTCAAGCAACAGGCTCTTGGAGTTTAACCTCACCAAGTGCAAAATCGTGAAGTTTGGGGAAGGCCAAAGAAGACCGGAGACAGAGTACAGGGTAGGGGGGCCAAAGACTGCAAACCTCACTCAAGAAAAAGAATCTTGAGAAGAGTAAAACACCAAGCACATCTCCAAATAACTGTTGCAGCATATGGGCGCCTGGCAAGCCTAAGAATAGCGTTTCGACACCTTAGTAAGCATTCAGACTGTACACTGTGAAAGTTAGGCTAATATTGGAGTATGCAGTACCAACATAGAGCCCACACCTGGTCAAGCACGTCAAGAAATTAAAGAAAGAGCAAATGTTTGCAACAAGACTAGTCCCGGAACTAAGGGGTATGTCCTAAGAGGAGAGGTTAAGGGAAATCAACTAGAAGGCACTAGAGAACTGTAGGATAGGGATGACATAATAACGACATATAAAATACTGAGAGGAATTGACTAGGTGGATAGAGACAAGATGTTTCAGATGTGACACAGCAATAACTGGTCACAACTGGAAGCTGAAGATTCAGATGAGTCACAGCAATTCTTGGAAGTATTACTTCTGTCACAGTTGTTAGGAAGATGAACTGTATGTGCAGTGGAGGCGGGATCCATATATAACTTTACCAAGAGATACGATAAAGCTCATGGAGAAGGGAGAAAGTGTGCCTAGTAGCGACCAGAGAAGAGGCGGGGCCAGGAGCTGTGAATCAACCCCTGGAACCACAGACAGGTAAGTACAACTTAGTAAGTCACACAGTAGCCTTTATTATTGCTTAACAATGAGATACTCTGTTCAACTTCATTAACTATTCAAGTCTGACGATTAAAAGAAAATGCATTTTATCTCTGAAAATTTAAACTCTAACTCGCTCAACAAAAGGCAGCAGCCAAGTCTGAGGAGTGGCAGTTTGCAGGCAGCCACGACCCAGGCAACAACGATCCAAGAAGCTTCCAACCCAGTCCGTCATGTCATCCAACTTTGGCGGTAAAGTGGCGCTGGTCACAGGTAAGTTGACAATTCGTACGTAGGTACGTGTATGTGTGTACTCACCTAATTGTGGTTGCAGGGGGTCGATTCATAGAACTGGTCGCTACTGGGTCGCTCACACCCTGCTCTGTGAGCTTTATCGTTATCTCTTTTTAAAGCTATGTATGGATCCTGCCTGCAACATCTCACTTTGCACAGCCTGACGACTCTGACTGAAGAACTACTTCCTAACATCACTGTGACTCAGATGAGTCTTCAACTTCCAATTGTGACCCCTTGTTTCTGTGTCCCATCTCTGGAATATCTTATCTCTGTCCACCTTGTCGATTCCTCTCAGTATTTTGTGAGTGTTATCATGTTCCCCCTATCCCTCCTGACCTCCAGTGTCGTAAGCTCATTTTCCCTTAACCTCTCCTCGTAGGACATGCCCCTTAGCTCCGGGACTAGTCTCGTTGCAAACCTTTGCACTTTCTCTAATTTCCTGAAGTGCTTGCCACGGTGTGGGTTCCAAACTGTGCTGCATACTCCAATATAGGCCTGACGCACACAGGTGTACCGAGTCCTGAAAGACTCCTTACTGAGATGTTGGACTGCTACTCTTAGGTTTGCTAGTCGCCCATATGCTGCAGCAGTTATTTGGTTGATGTGCGCGGTTATTATATTCAGCCCAAGATCACTTTCCTTCAGTAAGGTTTGTTGTATCTGTCCCCCTAGACTGTAGTTCGTCTGCGGTCTTCTTTGCGCTTTCCTTGTCTTCATGACTGCATTTAGTGAACTCCAGGAGCCAGTTACTGGACCAGGCCTGTAGCCTTTCCGGATCCTTTAGTAGTCCTGCCTGATCCCCTTCTGACTGAACTCTCCTCATTAACTTCACATCGTCTGCAAACAGACACACTTCTGAATCTATTCCTCCCGTCACGTCACTCAAATATACCAGAAACAGCACCCACTCTGATACCTCGTAACACACCATGACTCGCTGATGCCTTCCCGTCAGGTATTCTCTGATCTACTGCAGTGCCTTTCCTGTTATACCTGCCTGGTATAACAGGAAAGGCCTTCTTACAGTCCACGAAAACAATCTAAACCTCTCTCTCTCTCTCTGTCTTACTGCTGTTACCTTGTCACAGAACTCCAATAGTTTTGTGACACAGGATTTCCCGTCCCTGAATCTGTGCTGGTTGCTGTTATGCTCATTCCTTTCTATGTACTCCATCACTCTACTCCTGATAATCTCCATGACTCTGCATACCCTACATGTCAGTGACACTGGTCTGTAGCTTAATGCTGAGTGTCTTTGTCTTTTTAAAAAACTGGAACTCATTTACTGTCTTCTATACCTCAAGTAGTCGCCCTGTTTCAATATGTGTGATGAAGATTGCTCTTAGTGGCAGACAAAGCGCCTCTGCTCCCTCTTTCAGGACCCACGGAGAGATGTTATCCGGCCCCATCGTCTTTGAGGTGTCTAGTTCGCTTAACAACCTCTTCACCTCCTCATCGGTTGTCTAGCACTTGATGGTATACCGCACCAAACTTATTTTGGAATCCTTTCTGTCTCCACAGTGAATACTTTTTTTATTCTCATGTTGAGCTCCTCACATACTTCTCAGTCGTTCCTTCCTTCCTCAGCCTGATTACATGGTCCTTGACTGTTGTTTTTCTCCTGATGTGGCTGTACATCAGCTTCGGGTCGAACTTGGCTTTCGCTGCAATGTCATTTTCATATTACCGTTGGGCCTTCCTCCTTACCAGTGCATATTCATTTCTGGCTCTTTGACTACTCTCCTTATTCTCCTGGGTTCTTTACCTTCTATACTTCTTCCATTCTCTGGCACATTTGGTTTTGGCCTCTCTGCACCTTTGGGTGAACCAAGGGTTCGTCTTGGCCTTCTCATTATTTCCGTTGCCCTTGAGTATAAACAGCTCCTCTGTTGTCTTGCAAATTGTTGTCACAAATTCCATTATCTCATTTACTAATTTCCCAGCCATTTATCTTGTAGTTTGGCTTCATTCATTCCTGCCCTTCCGGCTTCCCTCTCCACTTGTAATTGTACTATGTATTCGAAGCTCAGACCCAAGTGATCGCTATCTCCAAGGGGCCTTTCGTATATGTCTTCAATACCCACACTACTCAAGGTGAATGCTGGGTCCAGTCTTGCTATTTCGTCCTCTCCTCTCTCTCTCTCTGGTAGTGTCCCGAACGTGTTGATGCTTGAGGTTTTCCACTATTACCTCCATCATCTTAACCCTCCACTTTTCTGGGCCTCCATGTGGTTTCAGGTATTCCCAGTCAAATTCTTTGTGATACAAGTCACACCACAACCAGTAGCTTTGCCCAGCCCACATGGGTCCTTCTGACCATTTCAGCCAGTATGTCAACCATCGTTCTGTTACTCTCATCATATTCTTGTCTTGGCCCCCCAACTATTCTGTGGTGGGTTATACATCATCGCAATCACCACCTTGGGACTTCCAGTCTGAAGTTTTCCCATGATCTAGTCCCTTGCTTCTCCTCTGTCTCCTCTCTCCAACTCCTCAAAATCCCATTGGTTTTTGATGAGCAGTTCCACTCCCCTATCTCCTCTGCTCCCTTTGTCTTTCCTCGGGATCTGATATCCAGTTGGAAAGATGGCGTCTGTTATCATTCCTGCGAGTTTGGTTTCTGTGAGAGCTATGATGTCTGGTGATGCCTCTGTTTTGTGCCACTCCTCCCACATATTTGTTAATCTGTCAGGTTTGGTGTACCATACCCTCAGTTTCCTCTCCAACACTGCATTCTGGGGGGTTTCTGGGTATGGGGGAGTGGGGAACCTGGCAGGGTGCTTCGGGATTCAACTGCATATTGTGGGATGGGAGCTGTGAGTGTGGAGTTTGTATTGGGATATAGTGTGTGTGGCTGCAGGGTTCGGAGGGGGTTTGAGATTGTTGCTCTCCCAAACTCTGGTTGTTCTCTACTTTCTTGCTATTTTCGTCTCTGTGTCCTTTCTCTCAGCTGCTGACGTTCTTTATGGGAACTCACTTAATTGTGGTTGCAGGTGTAGAATCATAGCTCCTGGCCCCTCTCCTTTACTGGCCGCTACTAGATTCACTCTCTCCCTGCTCCATGAGATTTATCATACCTCTTTTTAAAGCTATGTATGGTACCTCCCTCCACTACCTCACTTTCCAAACTATTCCACTTCCTGGCAACTCTATGACTGAAGAAACACTTCCTAACATCCCTGTATTACACAAGGTACTGTAGAAAATGTGTGTATAAAAAACGCTCCATTCACGTCAGTTTACGGGATTTGTTTTGAAACCAAACGCGTATTGGTCCTGAAGAGGAGCCAGTACGGGAAAGGAGTAAGAGAGGTGTTTTGGAGTCGGTACGGGGAGAGTGGCGGCTGGAACAAGACGTCATGGTTTGGTGTTTAAGTATTTTTTTTTATATTTTATTTAAAACAAAACAATACATTAAATAGATAAAAGAACATAGTATCAGTTCTTACCGAGAATTATAAATTACATTGTCAAAATACACACAGACGTTTAACTTTGTGCTCACACAAACTGTCCCTCATCCCCTATACATTATATACCATGCACCTATGTTAAGTAATATTACACAAGACTTTATTGCAATAAGCATTATAATTATTATAAACAAATAAGCACAAAACCTACAATATGCATTTATTTTCCACTTATAATGTTTTCCATCCGTACCGGAGATGCGAACCCCGGACCTCAGTGTGTGAGCTGAGTGCGCTAGCAATCGAGCTACGGGACACCCTGTCTTTAAATATTTTTTTGTAAGCAGGCCACTTTCTCCAGATATTTAAACTTACTTGACTCACGAAATCGTAATGACACGATTGCAAACAAACCATACCACGGGCGGGATTTGAACCCACGGTCAGAGAGTCTCAAAACTCCAGACCGTCGCGCTAGCCACTGGACCAGCTAGCCACAATAAAGAAGATCACTTTCTGGAGTTCGACCTGATAACCTTGACTTCATCAGTGGTTGACCTCACCGTCAGGCAAAGAATCTTACTAATTCTATTAGGGGAAGGAGGTGATTTTGGGTAAGATTATGCCATAGGTTGATTTAATATTTATGTATTTACACTCCTGATTTATCTGTAAAGTTCGAATATAAGGAGAGGCCTGTTTAAGTTTTGGGGGAGAGTACTTGTGTAGGGCTCTGGTGGCCTGGTGGTTAACGCTCTCGCTTCACACGGTGAGGGCCTGGGTTCGATTCCCAGCCAGAGTAGAAACATTGGACGTGTTTCTTTCCACCTGTTGTCTATGTTCCCCATCAGTAAAATGGGTACTTGGGTGTTAGTCGACTGGTGTGGGTCGCATCCTGGGACACTGACCTAAGGAGGCCTGGTCACAGACCGGGCCGCGGGGGCGTTGACCCCCGGAACTCTCTCCAGGTAAGAATCTTACTCTCTCCAGGTAAGTGTTTTTTTTTTCCTTCAAGCTAAGAGGCTTGAAAACAAAATGTTAGTACTTGGTGAAGGTGCACTGGTGTTTGGTGACTTTTGTACGTAGTGGGTAGGCTGTACGTTGTTTATATTAGGTTACTATTAATACATTTACATTTTTACAAAAGGGCCTTTAACAGCCCTTCCTAATAATATGAAGGTGAATTAATTCTCCCTGATAAATTATTCAACAGGTAAAGTTCTGTGAAGGAACAAACTTCCCCAAGGTTAGTATTCCTTTGTTTTGATATTTTAAATGCCCATACACTAGGCAGGTTTCATCCCCTAGGCGCCAGCATTTATTTTTATGTAACAGTAAATGTGTTACACCTATGAGTCATCTCAGTCTTCAGTTTCCAATTGGGACTCCTTCTTGTTGTGTCCCATCTCTGTAACATTCTGTCTGTCCACCTTGTGTGTGTGTTTGTTAGTTACCAGCTGTGAAAAGCACTTGTTGATAGACACTTGGCCTGTTGTGAGAAGGTTGTGTGTGGGTATGTGTAGAGGTGTGTGTTGGGGTGTATGTAGGGGTGTGTGAGGGTGGTGTGTGGGGGGGTGTGAGGGGTGTGTGGGGGGGGTGTGAGGGGTGTGTGTGAGGTGGTGTGAGGGGGGTGTGAGGGTGTGTGTGAGGTGTGTGTGAGGGGGGTGTGAGGGGGTGTGGGGGGGGTGTGTGAGGGGGTGTGGAGGGTGTGTGTGAGGGGTGTGTGGGGGTGTGTGGGTGGGTGGGTGGGTGGGGTGTGTGGGTGGGTGTGTGGGTGGGTGTGTGGGTGGGGTGGGGGTGTGGGGGGGTGGGTGTGTGGGGTGTGGGTGGTGTGGGTGGGTGGTGTGTGGGGGGTGTGTCTGGGGGTGTGTCTGGGGGTGTGTCTGGGGGTGTGTCTGGGGTGTGTCTGGGGTGTGTCTGGGGGTGTGTCTGGATGTGTGTGTGTGTGTATATATATACACAGTTTCTAGTTGTCAGAGGCTCTTGTCGAGATGCATTTGGCCTGGTGTGTGTGAGGGGTGTGGGCGAGTGTGTGCACGCACGCGCGTGAGCATGAGTGTGTGCACGCACGCGCGTGAGCATGAGTGTGTGCACGCACGCGCGTGAGCATGAGTGTGTGCACGCACGCGCGTGAGCATGCGTGCGTGTATGCATTTAGCAGCAGTGACCAGTTGTCAAGGTCACCCGTCGACCGATACTTGGCTAGTGCACATAAGTGCATGCACAGCAGCAGCAGCCACTAGTTGAAAAAAGCACTTGTCTATAGACACTTGGCATGTTCGTAGTGTGTAGTAACTATGTGTGTGTGTTTACATAAATAACTCATTACGACTGTGACCAGTTATAAACATGTATATAGTTCACTACCACTGTAACCTGTTAGGCCCAGTCCCTGGACCCATTATGTATCTGTAATCCTTTAACTACAACCCACAGGATGAATAAGGGTGCAGAATGAAGACATTAAACTTAAAACTTTACTGAAAATTATCACGATTCAGTGAAATTTCAGTGTCACCTCTAAGAGGGAGCGACTCATTACTTCTGGGATTTAATGTGAAATTCTTAATTATAACTCAAGTTATAAACTGCCTACATCAGCGTACAATATTTATAATATATTCAGTCACTAATAACATTTAAATCCTTTGCTTTGCTTGCAAATAATGTTATGGATGACAAGTGACTCGGGTGTGCGGATGTCAGGGAAGAATCACTCGGTTTAGTAATCGAAAAGAAAAAGTTAGACATAGTCTGTAGACGCCTAAGAATGTGGCGAAATGCGCAGGTCAAACCACCCTACAAACGGGTCACAATTACGTCAGTATGTGTGATGATTAACGCATGATAGGTTGATACCAATTGCGCATTGCAACTGACAGTAAAGTGTAACATTAGATCAAAATTATACTAACGACATGTTGATGAATGATTATGCGCAACACCTGGGTCCATTGTCTCTAACAAAATACTATTTATTAGACTGAGGAAGACAGCTCTAAAGGAGAAACGTCTCTCAGAGATACCCAGGTGTTGTACACCTATGTTTCTGATGATGTGTGTTGTTTCAGGTGGGGGAGGTGGCATTGGCCGAGCCCTCTGTCAGGTGCTGGTCCGGGATGGTGCCAAGGTAGTAGCGGCGGACCGCAATTTCCAGACAGCCCAGGAGACCGTTAGCTTGCTCCCTAGTAAGTCACCCTTAGTATTCTTCTATACGAGTCACCCTTAGGATACTTCCCAGAAAGTCACCCTTAATATACTCCCTAGTAAGTTTTCCTTAGACGCTCTTTAGTCGTCAGGCAGCTTGGAGCCATATTTTGAACTCAACTGGCTTACCTCACCCACTGAATACATTAATAATCCCCATCAAATCAGCCATCAGTCAGCTTGATAGTGAAATCCTCCACTACCTATATGCTCTCCAGTATGTCCTCCAAGTAAAAACAACGAACTACAATGTCCAATAAATCCAGTAAACAGAAAAATCCTTAACTATTCCATTCATCAATATAAACCCCAAGAATTCGCCACACCATCAGTATAATACCAGGAGTTCCATAACATCAAAAGATTGTAAGCTAATAAATTTTAGAAATTAACCGGCAATATGTATGTAAATAAGAAATAATGTGCAAATTATGACATTTTATTCGAGTGCCAAAATCCGAATATTTTATCATTTTAAATGCACAAAACTTTAAAAATTAAACAGCACTGCAACAAGTTTACTGGCCCATCCTAGTCAGATTTTTCTCTCACATTTAACTATTCCGTCTCATTTTGCTATCGCATTTATTAACGCTACTCAAGGCATTAGCTTCAGTAACCATACTCTGTAGTTTGCTCCTCTCATCTATAACTGTTGCCAGACTAGTGCTTTATATTATCCTTCTTAAGTCTAATACATTCACTTGAGCTGGATCCACAGTCTTCCTGTGAAGTCGTCCACTCTCCTAACCTGATCTGCTACCACACACTCGATTCATCCAGAACCCCTATCGCTACGAAATTCATACTCATCACCTATCTACATAAATCAATACTACACTTCAAGAGCTTGATACGCTGCCTAACATCATACCCACAATTCACTTCTACACCCCCAGTGTGAGAAATTATGTGGGTGAATTTTACAAGTACAGTCCTGAATGAATCTTTCACCCACATAACTGGGGAAATTCACTTATATACATGTACGTATAGATTCACTTGTATAGATGTACCTCGAAGACATGTGGGAATTCAGTGACAATGGGTCAAGACACTGTCCCTCCTCCATTGTCCACCGTCTCATCTCCCCAACTCACACTTCGGGACCTTAAATTATGAACATATAAATCCAGAATATTTCCTAGAAAATTTGAGCCAGTAACCTGTCTTATTTAATGTGGACTGTATATGAAAGTTTATTGAATTAAACTATTTGACTTTGTTTAAATAATTTCTTGTGTATTAATAATTATACATTACAGTGATTCAGTTACAAAGGGAAAATATCTTGCCAAATGATGATCTTGGTGATATATCCTAATGCCTCCCTACAAGAAGGTACACTACTATTGGCCAGTATTACCTGCTGTGTGAGGTAGTTACATATGATTATGGGTGGCATACATTAATTATCAGATACATGTGGTAGGCAATATAGAATCTCCAGCTACAATTCCCGTTTTTCATTCGTATCTTTATTTTGATGATTTCATTATATATTTGGACTCCTCCAGATTCACGCTGTATAAACTATTTCATGATCCCCAGATTTTGCCAATACTCTTTCTATTGGCCTCGATGACCCACGATTAAATTCTGCAACACTCGTATATGTCTTCTTTCCCCCATTTTTTCGAGCCTCCTCCGTCACCATATCAGAATCTTAATTCCCTCTAAATTACACTGATTACCTAATTAACTGATTGCAATAAATAAGGAAATTGTAAGGAATATAGATTCTCAAATGACTTAACACCTTTTAAAAGTGGCATTAAAGATATATACCTACACTATTACATAAACACTATTATCCTCTTCAATTACTACATAAATTACGGGAAAATTATCAAAAAATTTCACAGTTCAACCATGATACCACCGCCCAACTTCACACTCAGAGTTCACTTACTAATTCATACCCAGTTGATACACTGCGCATTACACTACCACCATCATACCCTCAGTATCTGATGTATTGTGAAAAATACAGACACAATGGCAAAATATGCTGCTTTGTTTATTTTTCTCTGTAGATCCCGGGGATCATCTGGCTGTATCCATGGACGTAACAAGTAATGAATCTATAGACTCGGCCATTAAAGCCATCACGGAGAAGTACCAGACTCCCCCCAGTCTCGTGGCCAACTGTGCTGGAGTTCTGGAAATGGCTCCTAGTTGGGAACTTGACGAAAAAACATTTGCGAACGCGTCAGATGTTAACTTCAAGGTATGTTGTGTTGCTGCTGTTGTAATGACCAAGGGTTTGTCTCCCTGAAAGGACTTTCTTAGATACTGACGGTTAAAACGCGTTTTAGTGTGTTTTTGACCATAGTTCACAGCTCTTATGATTCTGATTTTTCAGGTTAGAAGACATACATAATACAGGGAGATAAGATTACGTAATACAGGGGCATAACTCCCGAGAAACATCTAGTTTCACAGACAGGTACATATGTACATTAATACTGACAGGATAAATTATAAAGTTTTAAACTAGGAAAACCCAGTTTAACCATGAGCAACCTTATTTAACATATGATAACTCAATTTAAACTAGAAAACCCTAGTTAACAAAGGATATACCAGCTTAACCTTAGAGAACCATTTTAATTTAGAACACCACAGCTGAATCTACGATAACCCAATATGACGCGAATGTATTATTTTTGCTGAGATTCTGAAAGTTATTCGTTAATTAGGTTTGTGTGAATGGTTAAGTAATTTTATTCAGGTACACACAAATACAGTTACATAGATTATAATACATATCAGCATGTGTAAAGTACCTAGAATAACCCAAAAAGTCAGACAGGTGACTATTTCCAATGGAGATTTAAAGCCTATTATCTACACTAGTGCTGTTAACAAGGCTCGTATCCCTTTTCACCTCCAGACAGGGATACTTCAAGACCTAATACTGATTAAACTCATAACATATATATGATTAGATGAATGCTCCGCTCGGTGTATGTATCCTGCATTTAACAGCACTGCAATAATGCAATGCTACAGTGCTGACTCCTGTTAGTGCGTCAATGTTAAAACGAGAAATTACTTACCAAGATTCTGCAATTTCATCCCAGGAGAAAGAATAAACAACTTAAACAGGACTCACTGTTGTATGTACTTGATTTCGACATATCCTGGGTTATTAGTTCTCGGGGGTTAGTAAACGGAAGAACATCCACTTCCCTTCAAAGCTCTCGCTTCACACACGGAGGGCCCGGGCTCAATTCCCGGCGGGGTAGAAACATTTCGACGAGTTTCCTTACAGCTGTTGTCCTGTTCACCTAGCAGCAAGTAGGTACCTGGGTGTTAATCGACTGGCGTGGGTCGCATCCTGGGGGACAAGATTGAGAACCCCATTGGAAATAAGACAGACAGTCCTCGATGACGCACTGCCTTTCTTGGGTTATCCTGGGTGGCTAACCCTGCGGGGTTAAAAATCCGAACGAAATCTTATCTTTCTGTGATGAAGAATGTTTAGACGAGTGATGCCTTATTTTGTTGCGAAGCACGGGCGAACGGGCAGTAATATATTTAAGAAAATGATCTGGGGTAACTTGAACAATCACATAGCAGATCATAGACTATTAGTAATAATAATATATTTATTTCTACAAGTACATGTACAAGGTATACAGGCCTAGCTGACATCATTGACATATTACCTTATAGAAAGCTGTTGGCTATGCCAATTAGATCAATTTTATCCTAGGGTGCGAGCCACACCAGTCGACTAAGACCCAGGTACCCAATATTACTGATTGGTAAACATGGACAACCGGCGTAAGGAAACACATCCAGTGTTTTCACCCTTTACCTGGAATCGAACCCGGAACCCTCACTGTGTGAAGCTTGAACTTTAACCAATCATTATGGCTTATTTCTACCGAGGCTCATTTTTTTTAATCTTTCCCAGAAAACGGCTCTAAACAGTCGACTAGCACCAATGTAAATACTTAGTGCTAGCTAAACAGGGGAACAGTTATAAGAGAACGAGCCTACTGTATCCATTTATCCAGGAATTGAACCCGAATCCCTCGTTTGTGAGCCGAAGTTGTAACCAGTGAGTCTCTCATTGTTAAAAACAATGTCATGTAGTCACAAATGTCATGTTACTGTTATTGCTGTTTTATGACAATAATTGTGTAAATTTATTCGGAACAAATTCCCACCACTAGGCTCGTATGTAAATATTTTAGTTTCGTAATCCCAGGAAGACTTACCTCACCCTTTCACCCAACATTTTTTAACCTCGATTTTAGTGTACAAATTGATAAATTTAGGCTTTAAGAATCTTTAGCAAATGATATTAAATTAATTATGTAGCCTTAGACATTAATATATGTTACATTAGGTAATGATATTAGACATATAGTAAATCAGGACCCCTATGGAAATAAGTCACTGACTTTTTTGGGTTATCCTAGGTTCTCTACACATATGCTGCTATGTACTTTAATCGATGTTGCTGTGTTTGTGTATACATGAATAAACTTACTAGCTAACAACTCCTTCCTTGAGCAAAGTAGAGATGGTGAGTTAGCTAAGGCAGAAGGGCCCTTCTGGCATAAAGAGTGGTCGGGATAACTCACAGGAGTTCCCAACTCAGCATCCCACGCTGTTTACAAAATATTCCGTCTGATAGCCAGCAATGATGGACAGAGGCCTCCCGACGGACTGAGGATAGAGTCTCTGCGCCAGACCCATTTGTGAAACTTATTTGTCTTTTTACCCTATGTAAGGAGCCACCAAATAACTAGGCGAAAATACAAGAATAGTTTAGCATACTGCTAGGAGCAAGCCAAGAGCCCCAAGCAAAGCAATTAACAGCCAGGATTGCTGAGTAATCCTCCCTTGAATATGGGGCCAGAAGCTAGTAATCTGTGTACTTATATATTAGTTAGGGGAAAATCCAGTAAATGCAGTGACCCCCTAGAGTGTACGTTGGAATTACAGATTTTTATTAACGGCTTAAAGGAACTATTCCTCTGTGGCATCCAAGAGAGTGAGAGAAATCATTAGAAGTCTAGTTAGCCTGGGTAGAATCAGGGGATTTCTAGGTAGGATAGACTCCACAACACAGGTCTCTTTTAGTTTGTACATGGGTGAAGGCAGGATTTCCTGCTGATCAGTTAACCCTCTCTAAAGAAGTGTAACTATACGGGTACTTGTGAGAACAGGACACTGAAATTTTTTGTCATCTGTGCCAACAGTGACTGCCAGAGTGGGCCTCTCACAAGTTCACACAGTAATGATATACAACACCGAAAAGATGAGAAATTAAACATTTGGAACATCTTGATATCTCCGTTTGGAGATACACACTGTTCTGTGTATAGTTGTGCAAGGCTGATTACCTCATAGTCTGCAGTCTTTATATTATTTGAATCTGACATAACGTCTTTAAATAAAGATACCCAGATATTGCACGTAGATTAAGTTGCTTGGCACAAGCAGACACCCCTGACTACATGATTGAAATTAACATGACACACATCCACACAGGGCACCTTCTTTGTGAGTCAAGCAGTCATCAAGTTGCTTTTGAAGCAGCAAGCTCCTGGTGCTGTGGTCAACATTGCTAGCATTGCCGGAGGATATGGGCTACGCGACTTATCACACTATTCCGGCAGCAAGGGTGCTGTGATGTCTCTCACTAAGGCCATGGCAGGAGAACTCGCCAAGTTAGATTCACACTTATTTTTTTTTCAAATATGGATCATTTAAACATAGAGAATATATTTTCTGATTGTTAATTTAAAATTTTATTTTCTCGTTATACCAGGAAAGGTATTCGGGTAAACTGCGTACTTCCTGGTCTAATCGACACTCCTCTGGTGAGAGATACACCCCTAGCTGATTCAATTATTCCTTTCACTGCACTAGGAAGAAAGGGACAGCCTGGAGGTTGGTATTACAAGTAGGGATATTGTTAATAAACAAGTAACGGGAGAGGCATTTTACCCAGTGGCGGACCTACATTTTTGGGGCCCTGACGTTTGAACTGTTATGGGCCCCTTTCTCATACAGTAGACCCAAAAATTTTAAGCAATGTGGACTAAAGTCACTTCTGGTACCCCCTGCATTACGGGCCCTGAAGCTTAAGCTTTATTAGTTCCATAGTAGATCCGCCCCTGATTTTACCTACACTTTCTGTAACGTTCATGTCACATATAGCGTCCTCCCCGTCCTCCACGTTTTCTATGGAACATTTTTCTTTAAAAAAGTATCTTTACATTCTCATTGAAAAAACAAATCATTATAATGTATATGAATGTATGCGAAAAACAACCATTGTGAAAAAAATAGTAAATTTACAAGTGCTTTCATGGTTTCTCTCATTATCAAGGCACTGTAAAAACAGTAGAAAAGCTGAAGACTTATAAGGCCGAGAATACACCTCACTGTCAACTTCCGACACCTCACCCGTCCCTTTATGAAGATGCGGGTGAGATGGTCAAGGACTTGTCAAACATAGCTTAAATTCTTCCCAAATTAATGAAACTAATTTATATAATCCTAAACCAATACTAATATTAAAATCAAAACTGTTTTAATTAAGCTTGATTCAGTTACATTTCACTCAGTCATAGACTTGCTTGATACAACTTTCTCGGCTTTCTGAAAATCAACCGAATGGTTAAAAATCTCTCGCATAAATAAGCAAAGCATTAAATTCTTGTCCAATTCCAGTGCTATATTTATGTTGCAGTAATTTTAGTTCAGGGCTTTTCCCAGTTTGATCAAAATAAATTCTATTACATTTTTTTACAAGGAATCTTGTACACACAGGCGTCAGCATTTTTGGGGAAATTTTTAATCAGAATTTCTTTTGTTGCATCAAGATTTTAAAATACAGCTTTAATTTTAAAATTCTTAAGTAGAGAAGGTATATCAAGAAGGTTTTCATTGTAAGGATGAACCAACATATTCTTTGTTAAATATGAATGTTTGTCCATTTTTGAATTGTAAAAAGTATTTCTAGCTTGGAAATGTCACTTATTTTTTTTCACAGTGGTTGTTTTGCATATTGTGATATCTATTTACTGTGATCTTATTGCTATAATGTATGTAAATTGCGTGTACATACAAAATTATAATTGTGTGTATAATCATACACACAAAATATATTCTGATGAAACGAGCTGAACTTTATACAAATATTTTTCTCACAACGCCACCAGCGGATTTTAACTGAATCTTTCTCCCTCTACCCAAGTATTAATTAAGTTAACTTCTGGCTCCTTATCCTACGTTGGTATTTCATCTTTCCCACATTTATGTCAGCCACACAAGTGGTCGAGTTTACGGAACAAGTGTTTGACTTGCTGCTTAAGCAGAAGATCACAGTCTGATAGCCAGTGGCACCAGGCAGGTGGCACGAGCTCTTTCATCACCTTAAATAGTACCTCAGATCAAAATAAGTAACTATAGGGATGCCATTCAATCTCTGAGCTCAATGATCTCCCCCTAAAAGAAAATGCTACAGTTATTTCATAAAACAATATTAGACGTCTATCCTAGGTAAGACACTTGTGGGTTTCCTTTGAGAAATAACTTTTATTCCCAAACAGAGGTGGCCGAAGTGTTGGCGTTCCTTCTGTCGGAGAAGAGCAGCTACATGGTAGGGTCTTGTGTGGAGGTCACAGGTGGATATACCATGTAATTTGTCTCTGAAGAAGCCAGGCCCAGCGTCAGGACGTTAAGAAAACTTTAAGGTTATAGTCTTCAGCCTCATGACTTAAAGTAGATTTTGAGAAATCCATTGCCGAAGTGAAGATAATTTTCAAGAAGCCTCTTCAAATTTGGCACCGTACGTGAAGTGGATTTTGCATCAGACACCTCTAATGGCAAAATAATTGTGGATACTGAGGCTGTTAGCAGTGTCACGATGTGATAGGAGCTGTGAGGAGCTCGTCTCACACTTGATATGAGAAGAGCTCTGAGGACCATAATTCTATCAGTCAACAAATTGTAATGATGAAAAATTACAATAAATTACTAAAAACGAAAAAAAAAAGTTTTTTCCTTAATTTATTCCATCAGGATTCATAATATTTATGAATAGTATATTCCTTTGAACTGACAATTAGGTAAATAATAGAAAAAAACGCCAAGTTAGAATAAACACTGGAAGAAGAGGATACTTTGAACAAAACATTTTTACCATTAGGTCAGGATCCGAGAAAGACATTACATATAAGGTCATTAAGAGAACAGGTCACTCCTGAGATCAAACAATTGCGAGATGAAGTCTGGCGAGGTTAAGTATTGGTGGTATCAGAGGATGGGTATAAGGTGACAAGTTAATGTTTATTTTATGAATCGTGGACATTGTGTACAATAGGTCAAGCCAACATGTACATTCCACTGTTTTGCACATTATTTTGGGCGAGGTGGATCACTGCTGCTTCCAAAATTCTGCGTCTGGCTCTGTCGTTCTCGTGGTGCAACAACTGCTCTTCCGAAGTCCATGACGTGAGACTGAAGTTGTAATGGAATACGCATGCGTTGCTGGATTTATCCCTCCTGCAGACTTAATGCTCCAGAAGATCTGTGCCGATCTCTCTGACATAAAATTTATAGGAACCACCCTATGCATGTTGTATATTCCTGCTGTGTAAATAGTTCTAGGCTATGGTTTTTTGATGATCTTCAAAAGCTTTGCTACCAGTGTTTTTGTTTTCCCTTCAAGCTGACACCATAGTCTATTTTTTTCTTTTTATTGCTAGAACAAATATTTTATTCTAATTAATAACCTCGCAGTGTTTATAACTCAGTATATACGAAGAATACCAAGCAATGTGGCTTGTTTCCATTGGGGTGCGTTTTAGGTTCTTTCCAAGGACAGGGTCTAACTATATTCTTAATACTAGGTGTCTATTTACTGCTAAATAATTGGAGCAGCAGGTGTTATGAGACTTGCTCATACCTCCCGCTGTGCGCAGGGTTTGACCCGAGGTCCTCTTAGTAGTGAGCCAACAGGTCGCTACCATTACTTTAGTAGCAGGTAGATGATCGCAGAATAAGTAAGTAAGTTTATTCAGGTATACACAAATACAGTTACATAGAATTATCATACATAGCAGCATATGTGTAGAGAACCTAGGATAACCCAAAAAAGTCAGACAGAGTGACTTATTTCCATTGGGGTCCTTTTCCCAAAAAAATATTGCTGGAATGCAAGTCGGGTTGTAATTTGCAGGGTAAATAAGTCATATGAACCTATACACTACTACTTCTTATCCTTCATGTCAATACAAGCTCACTGTTACCTAAAATAGAAGTCAGAATTTCAGCAAGTAAATCTAAGACTGTGATGAAGTCAAAACTGAAAACTACCTCGAACTTTCGGACAGAAACAGTCAAAGGAGTCGTGTGTTTTGCGTGTTTAAATAAGAAATAATTTAGCTTAGAACCCAAGACCCAGTTTGCTGGACAACAATCTGGAGAACCTAGTGTTGCTGCCAAAGACGTCACTAGTTACTGTAGTAGGAAGTCTTTTCCGCCTTCTCACTTTTATTTCTTACACTAAAAGAATGACCCTTATGGGTTTAGCCCTTGTTATTCAATATAATAACAATTTAAAAGATACGAGACTAAATAAATGCTATAAACTACTATAGGACTATGATTAAATAATTGCAGACAACTTGGAAATGTTATGAAAATAATTAATAAGCTATCATTATACGGGAGTTAGTGACCGTCTTATTTACCGTACGAGGAAAAAATCATTAGAAAACCTATAGGCCAACGGATAACAAAATCACCTAGGAACTACAGCAAAGAAACATGTACGTGTAAATTTATTGCAATAATAAGTTGCACAAATATAAAAGATAACTGGAACTGTAAATTAGTATTATTGTGGGGGGATGTGGAGGGTATTCAGGCTTAATTCATGGAACTGGAACACAGATCCAATTCCCTAGATCAAGAGCCCCTCACCAGCATTAAGGAACCTTTCTTGAGGGGCTGGAACTGTAAAAAACAAAAATCTTCACCACACTTGTTTGCGATACTGCACCAATAAAATAGCTCAAGATAAAGAGAATCGAACACTGGATAACTAGCGAGAAATTAGATAACATCAAATTTCGAGATCACTTTCTGAGAAGGCTCAAGGCCAATAAGCAAGACGTTACAGCCCTCCAAGAATTTCGCAAAGAATCACAGTGAAGAAATAAGCTAAATGGGCAAAGACAAGATTGAAGAATATAGTACTAATTCGAGAAAGATTTGGCAACCCTTGAAATATATAGCCAAAATCCAGCAAATGGGTTTGACAGTGCTAAATACTGATAACGAGGCATGCCATGAATCATTTAAAATGACAAATTGTTTCATTACGTATTACACAACTGCTGCATCATCATTAGTCGGTAAATTGCCAAGTGCTTTAATAATTTCAACACAGACATCTCCCTATACCATTTCCAGCTATTAGTTCCATATATACAAAATTCATAAGATACACCTTAACTGAACCCAACTAGAAGCACCCGACCTGATAAAATTCCAGCCAAATTCCCAAAAGATGGCACCACCAAATAAGAATTTAACATAGCATATTTGAACAATGTATTCATCTCCACTGGGTTATATTTGTTATGATGTTCGCCAGCATGGCACGTGTCGCCTGGCACGGGCATTAATCATACAGGTGACCCGTTGATTGTTATAGAACCGTGCTGTATGAGCTCAAGTCAACTACAACCGTTCTTTGTCTATATTAAAAAAAAATGTTAGAGTGGATGTAACTATAGGCCTATAATAGCCTAGAAAGATCTCTAAGTTTATTTAGGTACAAGTACAGGTACACATAAGTACAGGTACATGTAAGTACTGCTTCAGTCATAGAGTTGACAGGAAGTGGAACAGTTTGGAGAGTGATGCAATGGAGGCAGGATCCATATATACCTTTAAGAAGAGGTACGATAAAGCTCATGGATCAGGGAGAGAGTGGACCTAATAGCGATCAGCGAAGAAGCGGGGTCAGGAGCTGTGAATCGACCCTTGCACCCACAAACGGGTAAGAAATTTCAATGACTACAATTATCATAGTAATATACGTGTAAATTACGTAGCATAAGCAGAGAGAGTCAGACAAAATGCCTTATTTCCACTGGGGTTCTTGTAATAACTTAATGACAGTAACGTCCCGCACAGTTGCCTTATAGATTAAACAAAAACTTTTATGTCCAAAGGGAATTTCGAAGGTGTGGTTAGGTACGGTTTAGTCAGGAAACAGGACAAGTGTTTCCTGACGCAGGTCTTAGTCATATGATGACCCACAGTCGGAGCTTTTGGTCATCTAAGGCCTTCCTCTGGCATGTCGGTCCACCCCTTCAAAAACTGATTTATTGTAACCAATTTTTCATATCCTAGGCATGGAATCCAATGGAAATAAATCACTGATTTTTTTTTTGGGGGGGGGAGGGTTATCCTATGTAATTTACATTATGTACGATACTTAAACTTATTTGTACCTGTGCCTAAATAAACTTACGCACCTGACCTACACTACTAAAAGGCTGATGAATAACACATGTATAACACTAGACTGATTTTACTGCCGACAATAAAGATTCCTAAATGTTGAACATGTGTCTTATTCATTGCCTACAAAAGGTAAATGGTACAATGCACCACAGTATACATATGATGTACAAATAATTGACTTATTTTTATTAAAATCACGATGGGTAGAGGATAAAATGGCATGAATGGCTACCTTTAAGTATAACAAGGTAACAGAGGAAATAAGTCACAGTGTGTTACTTTAAATATTATCCTAGGTATACAATGCCTTGTATTCGGTCTAAATAAACATTTACTAGTCCCGAAAAACTAGATGTGACTTACGTTTTTAGTAGTCATAGATTTCATAGAAAATAAAAGCGTTTTCTATTACGAATGTGTCTTAGTCGTTTTCTTTTGCTTTAGTAGTAACTCTAAAAACTTTATTACTGTAAAGTATGGATTACAATTGATTCGGAAAATGTGATATTAATGACATTATAAAATGCCCCTGGTTATGTAGAGCGCACACAGTGTGGGTGGTTCAATCCCATGTACGGGTGGAAACGTTGGACATGTTAAGTTAAGGAATCCCCGGTACGGCTGGAAAACGTTAGGACGTGTTTCCATAAGACACCTGTTGTCCTTGTTCACTCATCAGTAAATGGGTACCTGGGTGTTAGTCGACTGTTGTGGGTGGCATCCTACAGGACAAGATTGTATGACCCGAAGGAAAATAAGCCAGTCATCGATAACGTACTAACTTTCTTTGGTTATCCTGGGTGGTAGGTTTTAGGTTTGTCAGGAAACAAGAAAAGTGTTTCCTGATGCGCGTCTTAGTCATATGATGACCTGCGGCAAGAGCTTTCGGGCGTCCGATCGAGGCCTTCCGCTGGTTTACTGGTCCACCCTTTTAAAAATTATGATTATGATTATTTTTTCTGGGTGGGTAGCCTTCCGTTTTAATAATCTGAACAAAAGTTATCTACTGCTAGAATTCGGTAAGACAATTCGATATAACACTGTGGAGGTTACTAATGTTGGTCCAATACAAATGCAGATACTAATCTAAATTTCAGTATTACTGCCCAGGATATACAATAAACTGAAAACCAAATGCATATATAAATTTACTCAGTTATTTCATAATAAAAATCATTATGATATAGAAGTCAAGATTAGCAGAGTGGCAATAGTTACTTAAACTATAATACGAACATATTGAGAGAATATATACATATAATAATATACGAGAGTTAAAGGAAAGATGGAAGACGAACAAAGACAGACCTAAATAAAAGCTAAGTTTCAGGATTTGACATGGCATAGTGTTGTCAAGATATATTAAGTTAAAGAGGTGCTTTTAACAGTAACTTTGAAGAAGCTAGGAGACAATGAATCTTTGGAATCTTCAGGCAGTTTCTTCCAGATTTTAGGGCCTTTTTCGCCGAGTTGTTTTTTCCTACAGAGGTTGAGTCGGACACGGGAGATATAGGA